CTGTCATTCGTTTGAACGTCTAATGCAATGGCTAGACCAAGATCTGAACCTTCGTATAAAGAACGAAACAGCTCACTCTTCGCAGATCCGTTATAACCAGAATTAAACGTGTAACAGATGCCTCTATTTGTAACAATTGGAACAAAGTGTTGTTCTGAGCATTTTATCTATTCCTCGTCTTCAAAAACACAGTATTTTGAAGGTCCACTCATGCTTCTATCGCCAAAGAGGTCGTGCCCATACTTAGCAAGGAATTCTTTTTCGTCATAGATACGTTTCGTGTGATTAAGGACACTCATTATTCTCTGCCTGGTTGCAAAGTCACAGTTGTCCACCAGAAGGGGACCAAACTCAACGAAAACGCATAATAAAGCTTGGCCACATGTCAGATTACCACGAACACTTCGTGTTTCACTGCATCCGCTGATGTTTAATCCCAATTTTTCAAAATTTTGGTCCTCGTCAGTTGTGTCTATCTTCGTTTTCATGAACTGATTTAAATTGCAGATTGTAACTGCTGGAAATTTCAAGCCATCCAGAGGCGTTTCTTCCGAAATTTCAGTTTTTATTGGTCTTGGAAAATATTTTTTGAAGCTTCTTGTTGAATTGTAAAAATAAGCTCCTAAGGCCACAAGGAATAGAAGTGCCCAAACTATTCGTCTATAACTAGGTAGCGACGTCTGGACGATATATCGTAGCCCATGGACAGTTGTGTCCGTGGAAAATTCTCTCCATTTGGATAAAAGAGAAGGCTTTGACTTGACCAGTTCTTTGAATGAGGCATTGGTAGGCTCCGTCGACTCCGCGGGGATCATTATGGTGTGGAAAGCTGGTTAGTTTGACGTTGAATGCTGAAAGCATGAATAAAAACATTTCTTATTTTTATTCAGATATCCTTTATCTACTGTTGCGACAATTTCTCCAATTGGCTTGTGATTTTCACTTCCCTAATGAGTGTACCAATTGTATGGAGCATACTGCTGTGCTTCAGCAAGCTGCCCGATGCTATATTCCGATAAAATTAATTTATTCGCATTATGCAGGTCTTTCCGGATATAACTTCTCCTCCTAATCCCAGTTTTTTGTGAACTCTGACACGCATCAAGTAATGGGGTAAAATGTTTGTAAATTCAGTAAAAAAAAAAAAAAGAAATAAAAAATATCTCCTTTTTACCAAGGATCATTGGGAAAAAAGATAAGCACGATGAGTGGTTTAAATTCCCTGTTTAGGTCACCGTAAGAACACACGTTTAGTTGTTATCTGTCCATATTGGAGTAGTTATCAAAAGTTTTCCATTTTTGGCTCTCTCTGATATATATATATATACACTCACTGATATATATGTGTCACTGATGATATATAGATGACATATAGACATATAGATGTGTCACTCATATATGTCTCACTGATGAGACCCACATAGGTCGAAACAGTGTGCACTGTCTGCAGTTANGGGGGCAAAATTTATATTTTCTCTCACAGCAGTGATACTATCCGGTGATTTTACTGACTTCACTGCTACCGCCAACACCTTCCCCTCACACTTCTTTGGGTAAATTGCTCATGAAACATAAATCTTAAAATTTCTGTAGCGTTTTGACTCTCCTAAATAGAAAGTTAATCAGTCCGTTCGAATAAACTTAAATTCAACCTCTTGACACAATTTCCATTATCATTTCGCTATTGACCTGCTTGTTACTTCACTTACTTTAATTACAACCGCCCTTTGTAGATCCATGAATACAATGTCGAGTTATACTGCAAGAGTGTATTAGAGTCATTTTGCGTCTCAAGATATTCCGCCATTCCACTGATCCAGCGTTCCACCGTCCCTTCCTTCCGCCATTCTGTTAAATAACTCAAGGTATCGTGTTCCGAAGCTTGCTAGCTTAGCAAATTTAGCGGTCCTTTTCGGCAAAAGTCGCTGACTCAAACAGTAAAATGCTCTCGTTTCAAAGAAAAAAATGCTTCATTAAAGCTTGCATAATGTGCAGATCACGTCTGTAATCGCTTCCGTTAAATTTGAATGTTACCGCTTCTGAGAGAAGCTGCGAAATATTTTCTTTTGAATAACGCCTCTGTGATTAGTTCTTTTAAGACAGAAAATTGTAGTTAGCGTTTCACTTCAGGATAAGACTCCGTGTAATCAAGATCGTTACTTAAATAGAAGACGGGTTAGACCGTAATTCTCGATAGAGTAACTTGAATCAAGACCCGCAAACGTTAGCAAGCAACAATTTATTTTGTGATTATGTTAACTCGAAGTTGTGATTCTACGTGAAACTTATCGCTAGTTTTTCATATTTCTTTTGGTTCTTTTAATTGCCACGCGCTCGTTGCGCAAATTGAGATTATTCTTAAAACTATGATCGCACACTACATCGGTAATTTCTTCGCGTGGTGATTTCAGTTGACCGCTTCGATAGAAGAACGCCCAAGGGAATAGGAAAAGGAATAAAGGAAGAAAAGATCTTGCATTGGTTTGGTGTTTATTGCATGCGCGTGTATCAACCCAGGAATCTATTCTAACTTGAAAAGAAACAATTACAACGTCTACTGAGATATTTCTCCGAGAAAAAGGGCCGGGTTGCACCCGGACGAATTGAAGTATTTTCCAATTTTGGCAAACCAATAATTGGCAAAATTTTTTCACTTTCCAAATTTTGGCAGGGCTCGCATCAAACTAAAATAATTTGACCAAAACTTTACTGGTTGATTAATATATCAAGCACAAGCCCATCCAATTCTAAAGAGAAATAGAAAAAAATGTCGTGCGAATTGCAGGATATTTTCCTCTTTTCCAGCTGATCTTCTGCGTTGTGGCTGACGCTTGCGCTACTTGTGCTGGTCTCAATACTTACAGTGGAAGGAGAATTTCTCATTCAAACCACATGTTCTCTGAATGGCTGCCAGTATAACCGGACCCGGGGCACGAGTCTCAGACATTTGAATAAAAGCGGTTTCGTCTNTTGTATCCATTATTGTCGCGAAATATATTATTTTTCCCCGCGCTAACAATGGCCGCTCGCGCGAAAAAAAAATTTCTGGCGAAGTCGGATTTGCTGACGCTATCAGCGTGCAGTATCGGGATTTTGAGCACGCTCACGTATAATGAATTTGATTGCGCGACTCTGCTAGCTATGTTCTAACAGTGGTTTGTCAACATGATTACTTACAGATATGCCATCCAAGTCATTCAAAATCAGTCGACGTGGACCTACCGAAAGCATTTTGTAAAACTGCATACCTTTTTCACCTTGGTTTGTTTAAATAAGCTTTCCAGTTTTTACAAAATGGATTAGAATTTTACGAAAATGAAGGACTTCCGGGTTATTAAATTGACAAATGTGAAGAAATGCTTTCCTGGCAAACATAGCACTGATTAAAGGTGGGTGTCACAATATTGGGCCACAAGGTTTGTGCTGATACTTCTGTGTTATTTATTGAATTCATTCCAACTTTGCAGCATTCCCATGAACTATGTATAAAACACGACGCAAACAAACAAACAAAATAAAGAACGAAGGAACACTTATCGTAAGCTAGCTTTGGCCTGATTAATCAGGTTGTGAAACATGCACACTGACTCTCAGTTATACCATCGATGATAAGTTTATTAGATGTTAATAAAAAGTCAACATTTCAGCGCACTCCTGCAGCAATGCATGCGCAGGGCTGAAATACGAGATACGTGTTTCCTATACCAGGTGCGTAACGTAAACTTAAAGTAATGATTACTCTAAATAAACAAGTAAATAAAGGTTTCCTTTCCCATTAGCTGTTCACCCATACGCCACACTTATCTTGAGTTATGTTTAACTTAATTTGCATAAACTGACATCACAACTGTTTAGTAACAGCTATTTGCGCTGGTTATGCAGGCGTCGTATTTACTGCTACAGGATGTGGCCTTATCTTGGATAGCAGGAGTTCCCAAAGAAAGTCGAGGAACTCACAGATGGTCAGAACACTGCACCCGAGGAACAAACCCATGTTGCCTCCAAGCTCACCTAAAAAAAATTACTTTCATGATATACGTTTTTGTTTCTTTAAGGGTAATGTCAGATGAGAAGAAATATTAATTTATCTCGACAGGCCAATAGCGGATTGGTCTTTTTCTTGAATGTTTTCCCCTTTTTTCTTAGTGTTTATTTGTTTTGCTTTTTCTTAAGAAAAAATCCACGCAGTGCGAAGCTGAAGGTTAGGGTTAGATCCTTTAAAGTAGTGGGGAAGAGGGGAGGGGGCGGGGAGAAAGGGAGGGAGGGTGATTTCGTTTTTTCTGTGAAAATACAGCGACGAATTGGTTTTAGTAGAGCCAGCTGTTACTCTGGCATAGATCCAATCACTGAGAAAATCTGGAAAACGCCACTAAAGTCGGTAAATTTTTGCTTTCCGTTTCTTTTTTCTTTTTTTCTTTGCAGGATTGGTCGACAAAAGCGTTTTTGATTTTAAATGGGGTCGATCTTCCTCATGATTCTTGACTTACCAAAGAGGCTCTCATTCGTGTGGCTAGGAACATCTTCGCGTTTCTCATAAGACAAATACTGAAATCCCACTTGAAGATAGACAAAGTTCTCACTTACAAATTGAAAAAGAAAACACAAAAATGTATTCATCTGATAGAAACAAAAATATTACTAGTATTTATTTTAACAAAGTCAACGGGAAAATAGTATCAATGATTGCATTGGTGAGAAGGAAAACCAAAGGATCTATAAAGATCATAACAATTGAGAGAGTTTAGTAGCAGGGTGGCTGTTCTTAAAAAAGAAAAAAGGTTGGAGGAAACCTTCAAAGATGTCTTAGAAATTTGCAGTGCACTCCAGTCAAAAAAGGAGGAATCAGAGAGTTCATTAATAATGTCAGGGAAAAAAGGAGCCAAAAATTAAAAAGCTATAACCATTTAAAAGAGAGTCAGCTTGTACGAAAAGCCACTCGGTAACCTGGCCACACATTCAAAAGACCAACCCAAAGTTGATCAGTACCTGCCGGTCTGGGTTCCAAANCGGTGTTTAATATAGGCGTCGCCAGTGAAGAATTATCTCTAGGAAGGTGACGCCTTCGAACATAGGAGAAAATCAATCACCCAGTTCATTCAAGTACAGTGTCAAGTGAAGTCTAAATTCGTCTCTAATTCAAGAAGAGAATCACAATAAAAATAACGATTTTCTGTAAAACGCTTTCACGCGATGTCATGGCTGCCATATTGGCTTGAAATTTAGTGAAATAGCGGCCAAATTAATGAACCAACAGACGAGTGTAACTGGTCACTGGGGGAGTGAGAACGATTTATTAAAAACAATCGTTTCCTTACTTTTTGGTTTTTGAAGACATGGACGGTCTTGAAAGGAACACACTGGCAAACCCCGCAGATCTAGACGAAAACATCAATAGGGGCATTAAAAAAAGGCGCACAACTTTGGAATGATTCATTACGGTAGTGCTGGAAGAAACGCCTTCTTAATAAGTTACATCACAGCACAAAATGAGTTGAAAGCGAATATATGCAAGAGAGTCTTATAAGAATTTCTCACTAATTTCTTTTGTTTTTTTTTGTAGAGCTCTCGATGTGCATCCGAATAGCAACAACCTTGCAAGCCATACATCAAGGGCACGAAAAGCATTTATCAGTAAGACATAAGAAATTGCATCACAGAGTCGACTGTTGAATCCACGAATACGCTCGCCGTGGCTCGCGCGGGTCATTCTTATGACAGCAAGATGGGCCTGGGTTTACCAGCTTAATCCCAAAAAATGTGAAGAGGGCATGTAGCTCAGTAGCTTATGCACTTTATAATTTTCATGCAATTCGTATTTATCAAGTGGAAAATCTTTGACTACAATTCTGAGAACAATACAGTCAAAAAAGGTATTAAGTTGGACAAAGCAAAGGAAGCCACGGCGAGCGTATTCGTAGATTCAACAGGCGACTCTGTGATACAGTGTCTTATGTCTTACTGATAAATGCTTTTCTGACGAGGCATTTTTTCAAAAAAACTTAATAATATCTTGAACGAAAATGAAAAACATTTAAAATTTTATACCACCTGGTAAAGCATAATCTCGTCGGCATCCGCATTTATCCATGCTGTGATTTGACCGACACTGATAGATGCAGCCATCCTTCGTATATGACTTGATCCCTGCCAAACTATCCACTTTGCTGCAATTTGTTCTATAGGGCGATGGGAGTCTTTTGTACTAAAAAAACAATAAAATAGCTTAAAATAGTATACATCAAGACAGAGAAACAGTAAGGGTGAGGGGGAGTGAGGAGCTCCACAAACTTGCCTCTCGGCGGAATGGAAAACTATTTCCTGAGACCTCTACATTGAGGCTTACCTCGATATGATTTACTCTGAGTTCAGTAGTGCACAAGAATGGCCAAACCGTTTAGATTTGTTCGAATGTGATCAATAAAAATGCAAGATGGCTTCTCGGAAACGTTGGATATCGATGATATTAGGGCAAACCTAGCTGCATTACGCCGGTTTGTTTGTTTGTTTTTTTATTTTTGGCGGATACAGCTTCATAGATGGCATCTTAAGTAAAATGCCGTATGTATTCTTACCTGAGTCAGCTTGACTGCGACAGACGCATGTGTGCCGGGCTGGACTTTAAACCCAGAGTGATAGTTTACAAAGGTGTCCTGGTCATGAACAATGACACTTAAGCCACTTGAAGAACTGCTGAAGGTGGACTCATTCGTTTGAACGTCTAATGCAATGGGCAGCCCAAGATCTGAACCTTCATATAAAGAACGAAACAGCTCAATCTTCGCAGATCCATTGTAACCAGAATTAAACGTGTAACAGATGCCACCATTTGTAACAATTGGAACAAAGTGTTGTTCTGAGCATTTTATCTGTTCCTCGTCTTCAAAAACACAGTATTTTGAAGGTCCACTCATGCTTCTATCGCCAAAGAGGTCATGCCCATACTTAGAAAGGAATTCTTTTTCGTCATAGATACGTTTCGAGTGATTAAGGACACTCATTATTCTGTGCCTGGTTGAAAAGTCACAGTTGTCCACTAGAAGAGGACCAAAATCAACGAAAGCGCATAATAAAGCTTGGCCACATGTCAGATTACCACGAACACGTCGTGTTTCACTGCATCCGCTGATGTTTAATCCCAATTTTTCAAAATATTCGTCCTCGTCAGTTGTGTCTATCTTCATTTTCATGAACTGATTTAAATTGCAGATTGTAACTGCTGGAAATTTCAAGCCATCCAGAGGCGTTTCTTGCGAAATTTCAGTTTTTATTGGTCTGGAAAAATATTTTTTGAAGCTTCTTGTTGAATTGTAAAAATAAGCACCTGAGGCCGCAACGAGTAGAAGTGCCCAAACCATTCGTCTATAACTAGGTAGGGACGTTTGGATGACATATCGAAGCCCATGGACAGTTGTGTTTGTGGCAAATTCTCTCCATTTGGATAAAAGAGGAGACTTTGACTTGATCACTTCCTTAAATGAGGCAGTGGCAGGCTCCGTCGACTCCACAGGGATCATTATGGCGTAGGAAGTTGGTTAGCTGGACGTTGAAGGCTGAAAGCACGAATAAAAACATATCTTACTGTTTTTCTGATATCCTTTATCGACGGATGCGACAATTTCTCAATTGGCTTGTGTTTTTGACTTCCCTAACGAGTGTATTATATAGTATGGAGCACATTGCTGAGCTTAAGTGAACTTCCCAATGTTATCTTTGGATAAAATTTATTGGCATTATACAGGTCTTTTCGGGAATAACTTCTCATCCCAATCCCAGTTTTCAGTGAACTCTAACAGGCATTAAATAGTGGGTTAAAAATGTTGTAAATTCAGTAAAAAAAAAAATCGCATATTCACCAACGATCACTTGGAACAAAGATAAGCATGACGGACGGTTTAAGTCACAGAAGATCACAAGTTTAGTTAGTATCTGTCCATACTGCAGTAATTAACAAATGTTTTCCATTTTTGGTTCTCTCTGGTATATTATACGTTACTACAGGATACCATACCTGCAACTGAGCGCTATGTATTGTATATTAGTATATAGATACTGATGAAATACCAGGATTTCTCCTTTTACTAAAAAATCATATCTTCACCGCGCGCAGTGAAGATACTATTTTTATCTTTCAAGTGTCAGGATATTGGTGTGGCCATGGTGACCAACATAATTACCCAATTACAATAGAGCTTCTCGCTCAGGCGCGCGGTCGGTTGATTTTAAATTTCATCAAAATCTATATAATAAATAGAACATTACATGGCCGCTTGGGGATGCGAATTTTATCTTCGAGTGCTGAAAGTATCTCTCACGAGTGAGCGCAGCGAACTCGCGAGAGATACTTTCAGCAGTCGAAGATAAAATTCGTATCCCCGCGCGGCCATGTAATATCCTCTATTTATAAACTTATACCCGATTTACGCCAGCAAAACATATTAAGCTAAAGTAGGTTTAACTGAGTTAAAATCAGAAACAGAGTACTGAAAAACTGAATTTTCCATAAAATTCGAGTAGTTACTATGCGTTACATTTGAAGTCGACAGACAGACAAAACAGCTTTAAAATATTTTTAAGCTTTGGTGTGAATGAGATAATTATTACGAAGTGACTTTTTCACTTGAATACTTGCCTTACGTCTAACATTTCATGGAAATAATTTTACAAAACTTGAGGCTTCATTTGGAATTAACGAAAAATAGAAATTTACCTTGCAAGGAACTATGACTAAAGGTTTAGGTTCGAAGACTGTCGAATCTTTACACTGGCAAACAAAAAAATCGCTTTCTACTTTATTAAAAATTGGTTGTTTTACGCGCATGTTCGACTTTAGAGTTAAGGGTTTCCTCTTTTAAATAATTGATTCGATTTTAGTTTGTATTCAGTTGACCATGTTTCAGGATACTTTTTTCCCAAACAAGGCAGCAAATAATGTTCAAGTTCTACCTTTGGTGAAAAGTAAGTTTTGTCTTTCGAGAGAAATTTTGCATTATCATAGTTTTGATTCCTTTCAGGCTTGATGTTATGTTAAAAAAACTACTTTTTCTGATTTGACTACTTTTTCTAATTTGAGATTTTGGACGTGGTACTGATCCTTTTCATAATATAATCCATTATACCAGCATGACGTAATTGACCCTGAGCTCAAAAGCGAGAAGGATAAATAGAATACTTAAATAACTTATTATTCCCTAGAATTTATTCAGTCTAACTGTTGAAGATGCACTTGTTTCTCCTTACAAATATAAAGTCTATGGATTACCTGTTATAGGCTTTTATGTGGAGGAAGAGCGGAGCTAAAACCACAGTTTGGGAGAGGTCTTTGTACCGAGCCTAAGGTGATGGCACAGTCATCCAAAGAGAACAATCTTATCCCCCCCCCCCCACCACGTTGCTTACTTAGTCATTTCTTCGAGGTACAATTTACCACTTTCAGGTAACCTTAGCTCAGCTCTCAACTTATCACAGGACTGAAGTGATTTATGCAGCAAAATATGTCCTCAATATCTTGAATCAGAAAAGGACTAAACCATGGTGCCAGCCTCGATATCTTCTAGCCAAAGAGGAAGTTGTCTTAAAAACTCAATCACCCCTTATGCTACCGGTAAAAATTTTCCCACCGATGTTGATTTTATGGTTAGCACGTACGTGCATGGTCAGGGTCGTTAGTCTCTGAAAGTTTACGAAACATGACAATGAGCAAAATAAATTGAAAAACTGTACGAATCAACAATATATAAATAATTACTCTTCACAAAAAGGTACAAATGTTCACCCCGGGAGATTTTGTGTGTTTTGACGTATTGAAAACTTAATAAAAAAAACGTGACTCTGGAAATTTTCAAAAGTCCATAATGTTTGCACAGGTACAAAGAACATATATCCAGCCTTTCTCTCTCTCCTAAACTTTATCAAAGTCACTTGCAGTTTCTCCCTCTAACTCGGACAATTTATGGAGATAAACCTTAGTTTTGTTTTGAATTTAATTTTTTATGTGAAAGTACATTACTCTTTACAATTTAACAGCTGTGAAATCAAAAACTCATTAAAAATTAAAGGAGGCTGGGTTTTTCTTTGATTTTCAATGCAGTTCTTTTACAAGAACGCACCATTGATTGGACTTAGCAAGGGATAAATTTAAATTGTCATTATAATTTATATAAACGAGTGAAACCTTTTCAAGTTAACACAAGGAATAACCGCTCAGTGATATTTTATTCAAGAATCATAAGACCAAAGCATTTTTTAAATGCCCGATTTTGCGAAGAGAGACTTTTCTTTTCTCTTTACTAAAAAATACATTGTTGTCATAGGGAATGTATAAATAAAAACCTTTTTTGTATAACTGGTTGCATTGCCAGAAGTTCGCCGAAAGCTGATTTAGACGCGACCTTTAGAAATCCTTTATCTATTCTTGGTCCCAATCTTTTGCCAGGTGCATGACGTAAACTTAAAGTAATGGTTCCTCTAAATAAACAAGAAGAGATTTCTCATCAAACTCAGTTCTACTATGCGAGGTGCAGAATTTCAAGTGACTTAAGAAAGGATAACAAAGTTAGTAAATGACTGTGCTAAGTACAGGATGTAATATGGCTGCAAAGTGACACAGTTTATCCTCGAGTGCTGATAATATTTCTAATAAGTGAGCGGAGTGATTCTGTACACGCGTTTTGATAGGTTCATACCTATGATCTATTGGAGTAATTATAGTAATAGTAATAGTAATAGTAATAGTAATNAAACAGGTTATTCTCACATGGAAATGGAAGCGCCATCGGCAAACTTGAAAAAATGGCGGGAAACACAGGATCACGTGATCACTACTGCCGTTCACGTTTCACATAAAAGCGGTGCTAAATCTCTCTAACAGATCACAGAAGGCGTCAAATTTTGGTAAGAACATGAGTGACACAGTTGGCTCTGCCTCGTCTTCCACTCGCGTATCCATATGTGCGTTTTTTTTTTCATTTATTGAATCCACAATTACATTTGTTTTATAAATCCATAGTGTTGATTATGAAGATAATTTTTCGACATCTAAATCAGAAAAAATCTCAAAATCATTATCAAAGTAAAGTTGGTAATGTCAGAAAAAGTGGAACCGCCATGTTGATAAAACTGGTTTCCAAGACGAAATCCTCATGCTCACAGGAGTTGCATAATGGAACGTTCAATGCCCGCATTGACATTTTAATGAATTTGAATCGGGATAAATATTGAAATATTATCACTCAATAATCATAGAGTAAATTCTGGTAACAAACAGAGTAATAAAGAGCTCGAGAGAATCAATCCTTTAGGCACAATGTATAAGCCTTATTCAACGGTTGTCGAATCTCGTATTCTATGAATAATGTTTTATTATGTGCTCCTTAAATATTTTGATTTTGCTATATACTACATAGGCAGCAAAGGGCGTGAAAAGGGCAATTATAGTCCTAAACGGAAGTGTGAATAAATATTAGAGATAAGTTTCCTAAAAGAAGCTGTAAAAGGAATTCAGTTGCCGTCTCAGCTTGATCCGCTTTGATCAAAATGTTTTCCTACTTTCTTTTGTTTGTATGTAATTTCTTTTTGTTCTCCACTGCGAAACAGCCGCAGAACTACATTTACGTCTTACTTCAGTTAAGTAGGTTTTGATTCCAGCATTTAGCTCACAAAAGCGGGGAGATTTTCCCCAGTGATATACTGGAAATTAGCTCTCAGGTAAGTCAACTAAACATGGTTAATACTATATTGTACAAAAAGCAAAGAAATAAAAAGCACACTCTTCTGTGATCTATCTTTTCACATTAGCTGTTCACCCATACGCCAAATTATCTTGAAACAAGACATTACACATATCATGAGTTATGTTAATTTGTACAAACTGACATCACAACTGTTAAGTAACATCCATTTGCGCTGGTTATGCAGGCGCCGTGTTTACTGCCACAGGACGTGGCCTTATCTTGGATAACAGGAGTTCCCAAAGAAAGTCGAGGAACTCACAGATGGTCAGAAAACTGCATCCGAGGAACAAACCCATGTTGCCTCCAACTTCACCTAAACAAAAATGACTTTCGTGATATATGTTTTTTTTTCTTTTATCAAAACCCTAAAAAAGCTAGAAGAGGCACTATATAATTTTAAGTCAGTATTAACTTTCCTGCCAAAGGCACACCTCCCTGCGTTTTTATTTCTAAGAAACTGGTCTGAGTATGTTTATCAACACTTCAGAAACACCCAAAAATTTTCATATTTTCAAGATGATTTGCTTCTTTAAGGGNAATACAATTCATAAAGAAAATCACGATCACAATAACGATTTTCTGTAGAACACTTTCACATGATGTCACGTCTGCCATATTGGCTTGGAATTCAGTGGAAAAGCGGCCAAATGAATGAACCAACAGATAAGCGTTGTTGCTCACCGTGGAAGTGTGAACGATTTATGAAAAAAAACAGTTTCCTTACTTTTTGCCTTTTGAAGACATGGGTGGTCTTGAAAGGAACACACGGGCAAACCCCGCAGATCTAGGCGAAAACATCAATACAGACATCAAACAGGGGCACAACTTTGCAATGCTTCATTGCTATAATGAATAGCGGAAAAAACGCCCTCAGAATAAGTTACATCATAACACAAAATGAGCCGAAAGCGAATCTATGGAAGAAAATCTTTAATATTTTGGCACTACTTTCCTTGTTTTTTTGTAGAGCATACGATGTGTATCAGATTGGCAACAATCTTCCTCGCCATATTTTAAGTGCACGCACAGGTCGTTCTTGTGAAAGGAAGAGGGGCCTGGGTCTAAGGTTTTAATCCAGAAAATGTGAAGAGAGCATGTAGCTAGCTTATGCACTCTATAACTTCTATGCAATTCATATCTATCAAGTGGAAAAATGTACGACGGAAATTTTGACGAGAATACAGTCAGGAAATGTATTAAGCTGGTCAAAATAACGGAAGGCACGGCGAGATCCCGTGGATTCAACAGGCGATTTTGTGATGCAATGTCTTATGCCGTATGATAATAAATCATTTACTTTCGAGGCACTTTCATGTAAACCTGGATAATATCTTGACCGAACGAACCAGGTAAATAATTCGAGGTACTCATACATAGTTTAAGACAAATCTGGGCTTAAGCTCATTCGCAAAAGGAAAACATTTATTAATTTATACAACCTGGTAAAGTATAATCTTCTCGGCATCCGCATTTATCCATACTGTGATTTGACTGACACTGATAGATGCAGCCATCCTTCGTGTATGACTTGATCCCTGCCAAACTATCCACTTCGCTGCAATTTGTTCTATAGGGCTTTGGGAGTCTTTTGTACTAAAAATAAAACAATGAAATGGCGTCTATCAAGATAGAGAAAGAGAGAGAGTGAGCTGGAGCGAGGAGGCTAACCCACGACTCACCTCTCCCCGGAACGGAAGATTGTTATCTTAAAAGTCTGCATGAAGGCCGTTACCCCGATATGATGCTCCGAGTAAGTGCACGAGAATATGGCAAAACCGTTGAGATTCGTTAAATATGACCAATAAACATGCGAGATGGCTTCTCGGCAAAAGGCATTTTAAATAGGCCGATATTTCCATCAATTCTATTAACGTTCTTTGCTTAAGCTGTTGCGTCTTTCGGGAAGACTTTCCTTAGTACCCAAAATTGAAACTTTGCATATTTATGATATGAGGGCAAACCTAGCTTCATTATGGTTATGCCAACTTAGTTGAAATTGTAAATTGGCCTCCGTAAAGAGTTAAAAAGCAGAAGTTTCAAGCGCTAGCTTTTAGTCGTCAGGTTGGTGATTAGTTTGGAATAAACTAATTATCAACCCGGTACTTTTAAATGCGCTAACGCACGATGCAAAACTTGTCCTTTCATTCACAACGCTGAGAAAATATCGAGACCCAAACGATCCATTAATATCACTGATCACTTCACGCGCACTCCCGTCAACGTGATCCATTGCATAACTTGTACTTATCGCAAAAAGACATACATGGGCGAAACAGGAAGACGACTAGGTGACCGATTCCGCCGAGAACACCTTCGCGACGCAGAAAGGAATGGCACAGTCGCATCAAAACAAGTCGCTAGACGCTTTGATCTACCCAATCATTGGAAGCAGCATATGGCAGTCTACGGTCTTTACTTACATTTAGGTAACTCGGATAGCCCCAAAACTGTTGAACAAAAGTTTATCTTTTAAATCGGCACTCTACTTAACCCCATAGGTATCAACGAACGCTCTTCATTCTACTAATTCATTCGTGTTTTTCTCGTCACCATGTTCCCATCAATAGCGTAGCTCCACTTTCTGCAAATAAAACCACACGCAACCCACAATTCCTCCATTCACTCCGACGAGGGGCTAACGCTCGAAACGTCAGCTTTTTAACTCTTTACGGTTGCCAATTTACAATTTTAAATTAGTTGATGTAACCAAATTACCTTGTTACCCCCACCGACGCAGCACCACTGTTTCTTTAGAAACTAACCCACTTTATTCATTTGTCTAGCAGCATTATGACAGGTTTTTGCTCTTTGTTTTGCAGATACAGCTTTATGGATGGCATGTTAGGTAAAATGACTCAAGTTATATATTCTCACCTGGGTTAACTTGACTGCGACAGACGCATGTGCGCCGGGCTGGACTTTAAACGCAGAATGATAGTTTACATAGGTGTCCTGGTCATGTACAATGATAGCTAAGCCACTTGAAGAACTACTGAAGGTGGACTCATTGGTTTGAACGTCGACAGCAATGGCTAGACCAAAGTCTGACCCTTGATATAAAGAACGAAACAGCTCACTCTTTGCAGATCCATTATAACCAGAATTAAATGTGTAACAGATGCCGCTATTTGTAACAATTGGAATAAAGTGTTGTTCTGAGCATTTTATTCGTTCCTTGTCTTCAAAAACACAGTGATTCGTACCTCCATTCATGCTTTTAATTCCAAAGAGGTCGTGCCCATACTTAGCAAGGAATTCTTTTTTATCAAAGATACGTTTCGTGTGATTAAGGACACTCATTATTCTCTGCCTAGTTGGAATATTGCAGTTGTTCACCAGAAAGGGACCAAAATCATTGAAAGCGCATAATAAAGCTTGGCCACATGTCATATTACCACGGACGTTTCTCGTTTCATCGCATCCGCTGATGTTTAATCCCAGCTTTTCAAAATTATCGTCCTCGTCAGTTGTGTCTATTTTCGTTTTCATGAACTGATTTAAATTGCAGATTGTAACCGCAGGAAACTTTAGGCCATTTCGAGGCGTTTCTTGCGAAATTTCAGTTTTTATTGGTCTTGAAAAATATTTTTTCACGCTTTTTGTTGAATTGTACAGATAAGCACCTGAGGCCGCAAAGAGTAAAAGTGCCCACACCATTCGTCTATAACTAGGTTGGGACGTTTGGACGACATATCGTAGCCCATGGACAGTTGTGTTTGTGGCAAATTCTTTCCATTTGGATAAAAGAGAAGGCTTTGACTTGACTAGTTCTTTAAATGAGGCATTGGTAGGCTCCGTCGACTCCGCGGGGATCATTATGGTGTGGAAAGCTGGTTGGTTTGACGTTGAAGGCTGAAAGCAGGAGTAAAAACATTTCTTATTGTTATTCAGATATCCTTTATCTACGGTTGCGACAATTTCTTAATTGGCTTGTGATTTTCACTTCCCTAATGAGTGTACCATATTGTATGGAGCATACTGCTGTGCTTCAGCAAGCCGCCCGATGCCATATTCCGATAAATTTATTCGCATTATGCAGGTTTTTCCGGAAATAACTTCTCCCCCCAATCCCAGTATTTTTGTGAACTCTGACAAGCATCAAGGTAATGGGGTAAAATGTTTGCAAATTCAGTCCAAAAAAAAAAAAGAGAAATAAAAAATATCTCCTTTTTACCAACGATAACTGGGAAAAAAGATAAGCATGATGAACGGTTTAAATTCCCTGTTTAAATAGGTCACAGAAGAACACAAGTTTAGTTGGTATCTGTCCATATTGGAGTAGTTATCAACTGTTTTCCATTTTTGGCTCTCTCTGATATATCATACCTTACTGTAAGATACTACACCTACAACTACGTGCTATATATTGTATCAACTCGTTTTCATAAAAATCGTCATCTTACACACTATGCAGGCAGGATACTAAAAATACACCCAATAAATCAAAATAACTCCTAGAGGAACATAAAAACTTGAGCATGTAAGGAACCTAATCTACTTGACATAGCATGCCCTCTCCTTACTCAAAGTTTACTTGGGTGATTGCATTACGAAGTGACTTTTTCACATGAATACTTGCCTTACGTCCAACATTTCATGGAAAGAATTGAGCTAACCGTCTCCCGGTTAGCTCAATTGGTTAGAGCGCTGGATTGTTGTGTGGGAGGTCGAGGTCGATGGTTCGAACCCCGGCTGGACCAACACTCAAGGTCTTAAAATAACTGAGGAGAATGCGCTACCTTTCTATAATATCAAGAAATGGATAGACATTGTCGTCTTCCCGGATAAGGACGAATAAACCGTAGGTCGCGTCTCCTGCATCTATTAATTAGTTAATTTGGTTAGGCCGGGGACGTTAAAGAACCCAATCACGAGATTACTGTGCTGTGGTCTAGCCTGTTTACTAGGAACTGGGGGGAGGGGGCATCTTCAAATAAGTTTCCTTCGATTGTTTGTAAACTGCTGATGCAGTCCGGCCAAATTCCCCTGAAAAGTGTTGTGATGCGCATTTGATCATATCCACATGTTAATTTGCGCAATATAAATATTAAATTATCGTTATTATTATTATTATAATTTTATGAAAACTTGAAGCTTAATTTTGAATTAACGCAAAATCAGAATTTACCTTGCAAGAAACTGTGGGTTCAAGGATTAAGGTTCGAAGAGTGTTTGAATCTTTACACAGGCAAACAAAAAAATCGCTTCCTACTTTATTAATAAGTGGTTGTTTTACGCGCATTTTCGACTTTAGAGGCTTTTTTAATAATATAATTGATTCGATTTTAGTTTGCATTCAGTTGAGCATGTTTCCGGATGCTTTTTTCCCAAACAAGGCAGCAAATACTGTTATAGTTCTACCTTTGGTGAAAAGCAAGTTTTGTTGTCTTTCGAGAGAAAATTTTGGGTTATCATGGTTTTGATCCCTTTCAAGCTTGATGTCATGTGAAAAATTTTGTTTTAATTTTTTTTAATTTGAGATTTTTTTCTTTTTTGGGACGTGGTGCTGATCCCTTTCATGATAGAATCTATTATACCGGCATATCATAATTGATTACAAGCTCAAAAGCGAGTAGGATAAGTCGACTACTCAAGTAAATTATTCATAGTTCTTCCCTAGTTTTTATTCAGTCTAACTGTTGAAGATGCATTTGTTTCTCCTTACTAATATAAAGTCTCGAAAATATTTTTCTTAAATGTTTTTCACCGGATTAAGAATTGAATTCGATCTATGATATGTTTTTTTTTTTGGTTCTTTTTTTTCTTTTTTATACAAACTGCAACAATGTGCAAACCGAGAATCTATGGATTACCAATTATAGCCTTTTACATGGAGGAAGAGCGGAGCTGAAACCGCACTTTGTGAGAGGTCTTTGCACCGACCCTAAGGTGATAGATCAGTCATTCAAGAAGACCAGTCTTATCCTCCCTCTTTGCTTACTTAGTCATTTCTTTGGGGTACCATTTACCACTTTGAGGTAACCTTAGCTCAACTCTCAAGTGATCACGGGACTGAGGTGATTTATACAGTAAAATATGTCCTTACGATCTTGAATCGGAAAAATACTAAACCATAGTGCCAGCCTCGATACCTTATAGTCAACGAGGAAGTTGTCTTAAAACTCAATCACCACTTTCGCTATCGGAAAAAATTTTCCCACAAGTGTTGATTTTATGGTGAGCACGTACGTGCATGGTCAAGGTCGTTGAATTCTCAAAGTTTACGAAACATGACAATGAGCTAAAACAATGGAAAAACTACACGAATCAACAAGATATAAATAATTATTCTTTCCAACAAGGTACAAGTAGTCACCCCGGGAGATTTTGTGCGTATTGACGTATTGAAAACTTTAAAGAGGGGGGCTTTGGGATTTTCGGTTTTGCGGTTTGGACTGTTTTTTGGATCGGTTTTTCGGTTTTTGGGCCAAAAAGGTACGGTTTTTCGGTTTTGATGTTCAGAGCGGTTTGCGGATTTTACGTGTTTTTGCATTCGGTTTTCGGTTTTCACGAAAATTCTGAGCGGTTTTCGGTTTTTCATTTTTGACCCCTTTAAAGGTGAAAATGTAGCGGTTTTGTCAGGTTTGCATGCGATTTTCGGTTTTGCTGCCTTTTTTCGTCGGTTGTTCGGTTTTGCAGGTTTTTTTCTCCGGTTTTTCGGTTTCCCAGAGGCCCCAATGCCCCCCTCTTTATGCAAAACCGTGACTATAGAAATTTTCAAAGGTCGATAATATTTACACAGGTACAAAGAGCATATATCCAGCCTTTCTCTCTTTCCTAAACTTTATCAAAATCACTCGCAGTTTCTCCATCTGACTCAGACAACTTATGTAGATAAACCTAAGGAATACATTCTGTTCGGCTGTCTCCTGTGTAAATATTCTTGAGGAACATCAAAACGTGTTGAAATTGTAAGCTTCTTTGAATAAACGTCCGGTGCGCGCTTTTAACACTGAGTGTCAGCAAAGAGAGACTCTTGTTTTCTCTGTACAAAAAAATAGATTAGGCTCACTAAATTTAAACCAGCAACGATGTGGTTACATCACGAGACGGATACATCTAACTAGAAATAGCTAAAAACGGAAATTTGAAACATCTCCCATGCACGAAATTTCTTCAGATAAACGCCACTTGAGTGGAATATGAAGCCCATATTCGAGTCTATTATCAAGAATTGAATCCTTCCGTGCGAATGAAGGATACAATTCCGCTCTTTGAAACATTTTACGTATGAACCGTGTACTTGTAAAAGTGTTAATTTCGACGCGCATTACATAGTCGGAGATCCCTTCCTAAACCAGTGGGCGCCAATAGCCTTGTTTCAGGGACGTGCGACAACAAAATTTCAACAAGTTATGGTCAACGAAACATAGAAAATTAGTTTCTGTCGGTTTTCAATCATCATCATCATCATCATCATCATAAACTTTATTTCATCTCAAATTTTAGAGTAGCTTGTTGGAGCTAATATCTCCGAGAAAACATAAAATGGAGATTATCTATATATATATTCATACATATATTCATATATTCATAAACTACCTTTCAATCTAACCTGTATTTGATGTCTTGGAAATGCTCGAGATTCCTCGTCACCCATAGCTACCTGTTGTATAAGTGAGTTGCCTTCAGTCA